ATTGGGGCTTTTAATGTTTACTTGCTGCCGTTGGTAACAGCCCCACTCTTGATCTGTGAGGCCAAGGGGAAGAGCTTGAAAGTTCCCTTTTGCAGAGACTACTGACAACCTGCCCCACCAGCTACTGTGGTTTCTATGAGACACTTCAAGATAGCCTGACATTAGTATTTCCCAAACTCCAATCTTCATAGCAGCCCCCTGCAAGCTCAGAACCAAGCTCAGGAGGACAGCACCACAGTGATGGGGGAAGGACAGCACCACAGTGATGGGGGAAGGACAGCACCACAGTGATGGGGGAAGGACAGCACCACAGTGATGGGGGAAGGACAGCACCACAGTGATGGGGGAAGGACAGCACCACAGTGATGGGGGAGTCCTCAAGGCAGCCTGAGTATCTTGAGCAACACATAGCTCACCAGGCCATGTAGCCACTGTGACATGCTCCCTGTTGCTGGATGAGCAGTGTCCTCACCTCAGAGCTGTCAATCCCTTTCTTGGGCCAAAAGAGTGACTGCTGGTCCCTCTAAGCCCCAAATTTCTGGGGGACGAAGAGAAGAATAGCAGCCTACCTCTAAGGGATCCATCACTGCAGCAGTAGCACAAATGCCTATGAAGGCTTCACCTTTGTACATTACTCCAAGGAAGAAAGCCCAGCAATCGGCAGCAGAGCTGCTTGCCCTTTTTCATCTCTTCGCCCCTCTGCTGGTGCTGTCTGAGAGCTCAGCAAAAAGCCATCCCACAAATAGCAGCCTATCTGCTAATGATGGGGTAGAGCTAAGCATGTTTATCCCTTGCTGTCCCATCCTGGTGCAACAGAAGCTCCTGCAAGGGGTGACCTGCAGAAGTTGAGTGGGCAGGGTCCTGTGACCCTTTACTGAGGTACTTGCCAAACTAACAACCAATTTCAGCAGTGGTGCTGTGACATGATCTTGAATGGAGACCAAGAGGAGGAGCTGTCTGCAGAGCCAAGCCAAACACCATGGGCACAGATCCCAGGAGAAGGGGCATCAGAGCTTGTGCTTGGCTGGTTTTCTTTAAATAGGCAGTTCCAAAAAGCGCCTGTGATTTTCACAGCCAGTCCTATTTATACAATCCTGCCTAATACTGATGGGTCATCCATCCCGAGATCCTTGTCTTGATAAGTCTGCGGAAGGCATGAGCCAGGGCAGAGGAGCTCTCAGGAGCCTCAGCCAGCTCTGCAGCGAGGCCGTAACCCAGGGCATGCTGCCACCAGCAGCTCGGTTCCCGCAGCATGAAAGGAACGGGGGAAGGAGGCTGGTGACCAGCCCATTGCTCCCAGAGGGCAGGACTGCCGGGCACCAGTCTGTCTCATCAAGGGGAGGTGCAGGGAAACAAGGACTGAGAGAGACAGCAAGGAGAGGAAGAAGCCACAGAAGAAAATGGAAGGGAACGTCTAGGGCAGGAGTCCAAGGGGGACACAGGTAAGGAAAAGAGCAGGTGGTTTGGGAAAGGCAACAGGATCACAATGAAGGAAGAAATGAGGATGGATAGACATCAGCCCTGGCCACCCAGAGCAAAGGACAACAGAAAGTCCCTTGCAGCAGTCAGCCCTGTATTCCTGCATACATGTTTCAGCCTGAACGTCCACTGCAAGGCTCTCACACACACTCTGGAATGGGCTTCACCACATGAAGACTCAAAAAAAATACAAACAGTTCCATTTTTAACTTCACCTCATGATGGGAGTGGGGGAGAAGTCATGATTTGAAAACCTGGGGTAGCAATACTGCCTTCGCTGTATGGTTTGCAGAGCCAAAAAGAAAAGGGCTGTGTTGTGGGGGAAGATGCTGAACAGCTCTGAAAAATGTCTAACAGACTTTTGCTTCTCTGTGACAAAACCAGATACATTGGTGAATATACCAAAAACATTAACATATTTAGTTTTCCGCCAAAAACTATCACAGAAAAACAAGTTTTTCTACAAGTATTTTTCATATTTTTGGGGGAGAAAAGCTCCCAAACCACAGTAATCATTTTTAAATGAGGAAAGAAATTACACTTCTCAAAAGAGTTTTTAAAGAATGTTTTAATGTCAAAAAATTCGCCTTTGTGATCTTCCCCTGCCCCAAAAGCCTTGTGGAAAATATTTTTCCCTGTACTGTGGACATTCTCTTCTCTATAATTAGTATTTTCATTATGCAGAAAAAGTGTTTTCCTATAATTTCTCCTAATGGCTGCAAAAAGCAAACATATGCTCAACTGAAGCAATAAAAATGGAAAATGAAAACTTTTTTTTTTTTTCAATGCAGGTAAACTGTGAAACAAATTTGGAAAAATGTAACTTCAGCGAGTTATCGTGTTCCAGTGGGAAACAACCTACATCTCTGGTAATCCCTGAAAATGTAAAGATAGTAATTTGACTGATTCTGGGAAATTCAGAGATAGGAATTTTCTGAGTTATGAATCCAAATGCCACTCCCAAAACAGAGTTAAACTGTGTTCCTTTTGCTTTCTGAGCTCTAAGTTTTCCTGAACAACCAAGACAACTGTGCAATTGCCTTAAAAATCAAACTAAAAAAGGCTAACCAAAAAACCCAAAGAACTCTTCCTCTTGTCCCCCCAAATCCCTCAAAACCCCACAAAACAAAGCAATCCCTCTCTCAAAGACCACCACACAGTCACTGGCCGCTGGATGGTGCACTCTGGAAGAACACCATGCACCGAGGCACGTCAGGCTGTATTTTCACATCTATCCAACAGTAAACCAAAATCTGTTGACTGCTGTCAGCACACCTGTACAGGAGCGACCTTGTCCCCGCCTGGGCTGGGTCGAGCGGAGCTGTGGGCTTGCTCCTGGGGCTGCCGGGCTCCTCCAGCTCTGCACAGCCGGAGCTCCAGGCTCTCCACGCTGCCGGTCACTCATAGCACTGACTTGAGCTCCCCATTCTTCAGCCACAAAGTGTGTGCACGTGTGTGTATACTCATATATACTTATGTGTACATATGTGTATATTTATATACTTCCCCCGACACACCAAAAGCCTAACTCACAGGGAGACAATTCTCCACTGAGGGATTGCTACTAGAAAAGTAAACCAAACAATAAATAATAACCTTGCTCTTTTCTGTGCTAGCTTTCTCCATGAAGTACAGGCCTGTGATGTGTTTGTTTTTTTTTTAACAGCAGAAGGATGTCTAGTCATTTTCTTGTTTCACTTTCAATATTCTTCAGCTTTAGTTAATTTCACAGGCCAGGGAACAGAGATGATCCTATTCTTCTACCGAATCTGGCTCAATAGGATTCTTTCCACCCTATTTCCCAGATGTACGTTTGATTTTTCTAATGTTCTCCCCGATACAATAACCCTTCAGCTCGCTCTGCTTTACATTGCCTCTTTTGAGCCCCTTGTCCTCCCTGCAGCAGAGCTAGAAGGCAAGGAACTGAGGATGCCTGTTCGGAGCCAGCCCCCTGCATGTTTCTTGACTGCGCAGGCTAACAGAGGCTCTGTTGTGCTCTGCACTGATAGAAACGCACCAACCCAGGGAGTGAAAGGCAGAGGATAGATTCATATTATACAATGTTAGTGCTATCAAAATACAGCTGGGCCTAAAGAGCCTATTCAGAAGCTCTAGATCGTGCTTAAAAAGTAAATAAGGTGTCTCGAGCACAGCTGTCTTGAAAATGCAGCTTAGTGAAACAGTTAAGACCCTTTTACGAAGTAGCATAGGAAGCTGAGTTTGTTCTCCTAGTTTCCTTACACACCAAAAGAAAAATGGAAGAGACTAAACTTTAAATACTGAAGCTGCATGTTTGGTTAATAACTAGACAAATACCATAACAGTATTTCGCCAAAAGCCAGAGGGATGCAACTTTTTTGCCCTAGATGATGCAAATTAGGGCTACTTTTAAAGTCTGTTATTAGGTGTGAAAGTCACCCAGGCAAACAAGCCCAGCACAAGGGCCTCTGCACCACTCCTATCCCAGAAAAGCACTTTATGGCCCCTACTGCTGTAACTCCACAACCCCTTCCCCTGAGAGCAAAGGTGATGAAAAGTATGGACTCTGGCCAGAAAAGGGCCGCGGGGGGAGAAAAATGCTGCTGTCTCTGCTCAGTCCTCATGTTTCAAAGTGCCACCGCAGAAAGCCAAATCTGAAGGCGCAACAGCCCAAAGCAGCAACACTCAATTCTTATGGAGTTGTCCCCCCAGAATAACAAGATGGAGACAACCATAACGGTGCCAGGCTCTCACAGGGAAATTGTGAGAGCTCTGAACTAAGCTATTGCAAGTGACCCAGGGGCAGCACACAGACATCTCTGTAGCTCTGAAAGGCACGAACGCCCTGCTTCCTCCCAGGAGGAATATACTCCTGACCTATATTTGGCCAATAGACTTTATCAAGGCAGGAGATACTCTCTGCCTACCTATAGGATATGACCAAGAAATGTGTCTTTGCACAGAATTCTACAGAAACTTTATTCTCCATTAACTTTCCTATAATTTGTTTCTTCATCACCTGCACAGTTCATGATTTCTCTCATTAATCACTTAACTCTATTATTAAGTGAGAAGCATTTTTATGAAGTTGGGTAGGAAGGATAATTACTGTGGTAGAACAACTACTGCATATTAAATTCAAAACGAGCATTCCCCCAGAACCCACAAACAGAGAACCTATCCTTTGACTTCAACACGTGTGCCCAGAAAAAAAGGCTAAGAACTTATACGGCTGAAAAAGGTCTCATATACTACTGTGGCCGGCCAACTTCTTCCTCAAGTCTGCTCAAATCATCACAGTGGAGACATTGTGGTTGACCTTTTGGGGCAATACTTTTAAATACATGCCACAGCAAACATTTTAGCTCATTTTGAAATCTCTGGTTCACGTGACAAATTTTTAGCCTTAGGGTAATGTGAAAAGAGACAAGCTCACAAAAAAAAAAAAAAGATAAAAAAAAAGAAGATGGGGTGGTTTGGAAGGAAGAGCATCGCTGCTGCTAACAGAGAAGTGACATGCCGGTATGTTTGTGACACCTTACCTTATCCCCTGGCTGTGGTCTCATAAGAGAGACTTGATCATAGCCTCGTCGAACCAAAGCCCACAGTGCATCAAGTTTGCCCTGGAATAAAAAATAAATAAATAAATAGATAGAGACGTGACCAAGAAATCTGGGGAAACCAGCATGAGATTAAACTACAGGTGAGTTGATCCAGCCTTTCTGTATTAAACTGTCTGCACAAACATTGCTCCTGTGCTCTTGCCCTCTGTATACTGCTTATCTGGACAGCCAGAAAAGAGACCTGAGTGGGGTAATGTGTACCCGATATGCAATGGGCCAGATTCAGCCTGCTCGAAACTCACTGAGGATGACTGTAGTTTCATGTGAACAACTCCCCTAAGAGACACAATTAGACAGGTGTTACGTTAACAAAAGGTAGAACAACAAAAGTACTGTACTGATGGGAGGCGAGCTGGGGCATGGATAAACAGCCACAAGACTACCTACCTAGGCAGGCTTTAAAATTCACAGGTACTTTCCAGACAATAAATTCAAGCACTGTTAGACTGATCTGTGAGCATGGTGGGGAGGAGGGACCTCATCCCACAAAGCACTGGTTTGGGATGTGGCCACAGGTTTCTGGGATGAGCGTGGTATGCTGTTCCCTTGGCCTGCGCCAGCCCGCCAGCTTCCTTCTCTGTAAGCGGAGATAACAGCTCTGCCCTGCCTCAAGGGTTGTGTGAGGATACATACATTAAAAGGCGGGGAGACACCAGATACTATAATGACACGGGAGAAACGGGGATGAAAGTGTGGAGAGACTGAGCGACTTGCCCAAAATCAAGCACTACGTCTTGTGGCTGAACTAGCGGGGAACAGAGCTGAATCCCAACCCAAGGCCTTAGCCGCAGTGCAATCAAAGCAAGGATGGTGCACTTTATCAAATACTCTTTGTATGCTGCCTTGAGATGATGGCACAGAACAGCACCTGCCCTCCCTAAGAGTTGAGATATCTGCTGTTGCAATCCAGGCTGTGCAAAAGTACCTGAAAAGAAGGTGTGAGCTGAGGGAGGGCAGATCTCTGCTCATGCCCTCCAACACCCTCCACTCTTCCTCAAAAAACTATGGCAACACAGTGCCAGGTGAAATGCACGTTCCAAGAAACGGGCAAAGTTGAGGGTTACTGGCCATTTTTCTAAAGAGACTCTCCCAGGTCCACCGTAAGAAAGGCTGCGCTAAGGAAGTGGGACATAGTAACGTGCATGACATAAGAGTTGGTAAAACTGAAGGGCAGACACATTACCTTGATCGGAGTGTACCATTTCCGCTGGGAAGGTGGTTTTCTCACGTGGGGCTTTTTTGGCTTGGGTTCCCATGGCTCATACTCCTGTTCTGGCAATTTAATAATAGCATTTTTGGGCTTCTCCAGTTTTGCTCCTTCCTCTGTTGACCCCTTGTCTCCCCATCGCACCTGAAGTCAGGAGAGCACACTGTAAGTAGAGACACTTCAGCAGTTCCCACCAGCAGGTGGTTTTCACAGGCATTAATCTAGTTCCCATCAGATGACCCAATGCCACCAGACACGAAGCCAAATTTATGAAGGCACCAAACTCCCACTGTAATCAGAAACACACGTTTAAGAGTCAAATAGTCTCACTCAAAAGCCGCTTGAACTACTAGCATTCGCACCTTGCAGTAGCCTAAGGTGTTGTGGGAATTCACAGCATCCAGGACAGATTAACCCATTTCCAAGTGAAATCTGAAGCACTCTGCCCAGCTCTGCTAGGACACAGGCGTAATACGCCTCCCATTGCCTCATGCAGAAAGCAGGCAGCAGCACCAGCTCAAGGTAGGCAGTCTTTACAGCTAGCCCTAAGCAGCTCCTGTTGTTCAATTCAAAAGTGAAGAAAGGGTCAGTGGACAAGTACGTGAATGGTTTGAGAGCATCAGCCCTCAAACTTGTGCAGCTACTACTAAAAACAGCTCTTCCAAAGATGACCTTGCACAGCCATAAGAGAGGTCAGTAACTTTATCTTTACATACTATACACTACTCACTTCAAGCTGAAATTCTGATTTTGTTGTCTGACTTACCTCAAACAGAAATGTGAAGCTACATTCAAGGGCAATATATGATCCATTGGGTTACTCAGCGTCAAGGATAAAATTCTCCCAAGGAAAATGGTTAAGGATATTAAGATGCAAAACTTCAACTGCAGACTTGCAGCGACTTGCTGAGAAGCCATTGCTTTCATTCTGTTAGCCCAGACCCTCAGCTGGCTTACATTAGCCCACCTCCCTCAGCTACCAGTTAAACCTAGTGGGAGTTTCTGGTGTGACATCCCTAAAAGTCATCATTAGACCCTCAGCTGATATAGGTGAGTGACAATTCCCTGCCTCATATTACCCATGGTTAGGAATACTGACTTGATTTCACTAACATGGTTATTTACAAGAGTTAGCAGCTGATCACAGTATTATTCACTGACTCCCTGGAACGTACATGCCATAGGACAGCACAACAGTAACACCCCACTTTACACATCAAGACTGGCTTGCGCATGAATCCCAGGGCAGGGTGTGATTCATTAGCCAATTTCAACACAGGTGTGTTTTTGTGCATTAGGAGTTAATGTTTAACTGGGGAACAAAAAAACAAAACAAAGAAACAAACAAACCCAAAAGAAAAAAGGAAAGAAAAAAAGGGGGGGGGGGAGAAAACCCACTGGTTTAAATTCCCCAAACCAACTGCTTCCAGCCAGCCAGGCACAGTGTAGACGGCACTCTCAAATACTCAAAACCAGTGTAACTCTGCCTGAGACAACAGGACTGGACCCAACTGCATAGGGTTTGATTCAGTAAATTAAAACTCCTTTTGGTGCTTATTCCATTTCTTAATCTGCAAATTTTCTCTGGCTCATAATGCTAGATTCATTTAATTATTCATGCGAATGATGGCACTTGATGTCTGTTACTTGGACAGCAGGTGCAATCAGGTGGACAAGCCCTAATTAAATCACAGTCTCTAGTCCCTCAAGGTAGCTTTTTAAAAATCACATAAAAACATATTGCTACAATTTATAATTAAATGTGCTGATTTTTACAATGCTAAAGAACAAGTCAAATACCTCCATCCTCTTAATCCCACCAACACCACGACCTCCATAATAAGATGCGTCCACGGTTGGCCACTTTTTCTTTGGCAATCCATCTTCATCATCTGATTCCTATGGGAAAGACAGGGAGATATTACTGCCGTTCTCACATAAACAGCATAAACTGTGGAAAACAACTGAACATCCTATGGTCCAATCCGTGGATATCTGGCTTTATGTGTTATACTCATTTGCTGACAAAAAACAAAAGTCTCTTGTCTCTGCAGCTGCAATTTTAACTAGGGAAGCCAAAGAGGATTGCCTATTCCTCTCTCCAGGCAGCTTTTATTTAGTCAAGTATGCATTGAGCTTCGAAATCACAACTGACTTGTGAGGGAAGGCAAAGTGGAGATGAATCGTACATTATACTGGCTTGCCACTATGCTATGCAGAAAACGCAGCAATCAGCCCAAAGAAATAATTTATTAATTGCGCTTTTAGAACTTAATGTCACCTAACAGGGGAAAAAAGCTACCACTGTGAGTTTTCTAACATGTGCATCAGACCCTTTTCTCATGGCAGCTGTAACCAGTTATTCTACGCTGCTTGATTCTTTGTAGAGCCTGGCTCAAGCTGTACAGTTTGGAACCAGGACTCAGACTGGAGCATCTCCAGATTATCAGGAAGCCTAGATCCAGAGTTTTTGACCTGCAATTATAAAGACTGCAGATTATTTTTCTGGAATGTGGGAGAGTCTGAATCAGGGTTTTACTTCAGGTTCCTTGTTCTGTTCTTGCTTAACTAAAAGCTGGCAAATGTTTCTGGTTTGACAACCCTGGAAACACATCTCCAGCTCTATCATCCTGAACCGATAGAAGTCACTGGGATTTCTCAGGCTCCCTATCATTACGCTGAGTCGAGGCAGCTGAAAGTCACACCATGACACTCTCCAAGTACACACAAAATTGAGGAAAGGGCCCAAACAGGCCTCCTACAAGACCATCTTCATTCCTCACACTCTTTAATAAAGACACAAAACTACACCTCATGCTGATATGCAGATGTGCGTGCTGCTCTTGGACTGACGATGCACAGTGCTCTCTGCTAATTTTCATCTGTACAAGTATGTTTCTAGAAACACTGCCTGGACTTAGTTTTTACTAGAAAAAAACCATAATCAAGTGAAATCCAAAAACTAGGGAATGACACAAATTATTGTCAGATTACACAGTGACATTTTCTCAAAGTTGCCCTACATGTTTATATTGGAATGTAAAAGGAATTGAGAATCCAAAAGCCAGTAATAGCTTTTAAAAAACATGCCTTAATTTTTGTTTGTGCCTTGGAGAAAGGTATTCCCATCAGTTATTCAGTGACATCTGATCTCTCAGCTATGGTTCATGGGTCAGTTCCTCCAACAAATTCTTTAGTATGTCCAGGCAAGACTAGAGTTGACATTTCCATTAACTAGTAAGGGGGTTTGGGCTTGATTTTTTTTTTGGTTTGGTTTGGTTTTTTGGTTGGGGTTTTTTTGTTGTTTTGGTTTTATCCTAGGGGAAATAAATATACAAGGAAGGCACTGTGGTTTAGGGTTGGGTTTTGTTGTTTTGGTTTGGGTTGTTTTTGTTTGGTTTTTTTGAAGAGTATAACAAATACACAAACAAATTTTATCCCGTTTCATGCCACATTTAAAACAGTACTCAGTGAACTACATCAGCAGTTTTAATTCATTTATATTTGATTTCATTGTGAACTTGAGCACTATGTGAAATATCCTGCCTCTTCCATGGGATTTCAAGTCTTCATGTCTAACAACCCTTATTGCTGGCAAGCCTGACAGCAGCAGGTCACAGTTAATAGTGATGGCTGATACTTTTCCAGCTGATAAAGGATTTATACCAAATATCTCCTACACTGAACACATAGCAAAGCAACATCAACAGCTACTACAAACATTTTGAAAAGTAATGGAAATCTAATACTAACAGTTTAGAACAAGTTTCACATAACTGTATTCAGTTTAATAGCAGCAATACCAGACTACGTCAGCTAAAGGGCAGGTCACCATACCTAGGGAGGCTAGTGCTAAGTATAACGAAACAACAATCCATACTGGATAAAGACAAGTAAAGGGATGGATAACATCTGTATTCTGTGCTATTCCTGGAGGCTTACGTCAGCTCACAGTCCCTTTGATTGCATTTAAAATCTCTGCTGATCAGAATAATCGCAAAGCATCTGGGAACTCTGCTGCAGGGGTGTGATGCTCTCTGAAGCCTTGTTCAAACACAGCATGGCTGCAATTGCATGCTTCATGACAACACTGATCACCCTAAAACCAGCATGATTTTTGGTGCATATTCTAAAGTTAAATTGTCTCAGTGCTGCTGCCCAGGACAAGCAACAGGATCACATACACAGTAATGATGGCCTCTGGCAACCTCAAAACAGCAGCTGTGGTTGCCTCCTGATATTCATGCCAAGTTACAGCAAGTTAGCAGCAAACTGTAAGCTTCTCTTGTGGGTTAGGCAAGTATTTTTCCATCATTTAACTGTCTATGCCTAGGAAAGAAATAAAGGCAGGCATGAGTTTTCTCTGGAGATACTTTTATTTATTACTATTATTTTCATGAAATTAATACAGTGAAACTAAGCTGAGGTCAGGGTCAGCGAGGTCAGGGTCAGTGTGTTACTGTCCCAAAAAGAGCTAAATACAACCCTGCCTCAAACATCTCACAACTTAAATGGAGAAAGGCTAAACGTCCTTCCAAAGGTCACTCTGCAGCAGAGCCACAGCCAGGGCAGGCTCTTGTCTCCCTCTCCTGTAGCAAAGCCACAAGAATGTAGCCTTCGCTGTCCTTTCTTCCAGCTGCCAGACTTTGTTCCTTACTGCCCATCTGGGCTAAACTCCTGCTGAGAGCAACAGCAGCTTTACTGGAAGAGGGACAGCTTTCAGCACAGCCCGAGAAGCAAAGATTTGCCTACATGCCTGTTTGGTGCGCGGCAGAAGGCACAAAATACCATCGGAACTGTTGGTCTGTGGACTTCCGAGTTATGCAACTATTTTCTCTGTGGATAGAAATAATCTTGCTGTGTGTATATAAAGAGGCCAGAAGGCAGAAATAACTGTCCTGACCCAGGAGACTGCCTCTCACGGCCTTCAAGGTGTCATTAAGACACCTACAGGGCTGACGTTCCTGGGCAGCACAATACACTACAGTGGCTGCAGACAGTGCAACAGCTCAAAAATAGCATACTTACAGGCTCTGGAGGTGGTGGCGGCGGCGGCTCCTTGATCACCTGTATCACAATGTATAAACAACGGGAGAAATCTGAGATAATGGTAGGGTTCATCCATCTCAACGCTATGTCCTCTCTGCTTTCTCACTCATATCACAGGTGAGTTGCCCTGCTCCATTCCCCCACATTCAATCCTCTCATTAGCCCCATTGCTTTTCAGATGGCATAAAATAGATGTGGATGAGAAGCTAAATCCATCACATTGAACTATCTGATTAGTCAAGAAGTGCCCTATTAAGTAACTCATAATACAGCTCCATATTCTGGTAGTTCTGCCTTAAAAATGTCATATAATTACCAAGCTAGTGCAAAATATTCACTCAGAATCTGAAGCTCCTCAGAATAAAAAAGCAAGCCTAACTCGTCTTTAAAAAGGACTGTAACAGCTTATGCACATATTAGTAAATCAGTTCCATTATGCTTTTCTGCAGCAGGTTTCAAATCTTGTTCTAAGGAGGTCTTGATCGTTACAAGAAACTTGGGCCATGTTCACTAGCTCACTTAAACTTCCCATTCAGCGTCAAAATCACGTAGGCCTTGCAACATTCAAAAACCCAGACCAGAGTCACTTCAACAAGCACTTTAAGCAATTTGTTGAATCAAGGCCTTACAAACCTGGCAGCATTTTTCTTAAACAAAGTTAACCACCCACTCCAACCCTTTAACTCTGTGCTTTTGCAGAGAAGAGATGAAACCAAGTCAAAAGAATAAAAACCTGTACTTACCACCGTGCAGCAAAGGGGCCAGAACCACCACAGAAGAGCCAGAGCCAGCAGCAGAAAGAGAATCAGGAGAGCAATGAAAAGGATGGTCCCAGTCAGCTGCAAACAAGATGGTTACTTCCGAGTTATCTGCGCGTGTCACAAACAAGGCAGGAGCCCTGAAGTTACACAATTAGACTGGGCAAAATGAGCCAGGTTTCCCTCACTATGAGGTCTCAGGTAGATTATGCAGTCAATCACTATTATCATCATTAGGGTCACATCAGTATTTGGTGTGACAAATCTGTATTTGAAGTCATGATTCAGGGAAGCACCTCCTGTTTGTGGTGTGTATATGTATAATTTATGTATAAATTTATGGTACGTTTATAGCCCACTAGATTCAAGGGTGTTAAACTCGTATACAAACCATTCCCAAATCGGTGCTGACAGGTCCCTTAATACTGTCAGAGGGGCATTGCAAACTCCATGACCACAGACTCTCAGGTGTGCAGAGTAACCTTTCACCACTAGAGATGCAGAATATGCAAATGCTGATATTCAAAGAATGGGAATATTGGAGCTAAGAGCTTATGGGTAACTGTTTGCATGTCAACATCGCAGAACAGATCACAACTTACTCGCTCAGCCTCATCAGCTCCCAAGCCTGCCTGCATTGCTTCTTGACTCAAACTGCATACACAACCCCAGCCTGAGTGATTATGCAAACTAGTCCTTAAGCTGCTGGTTCTTTGTATGCTTCCTAGTGCTGGTGTGACTGTTTTTAATGAGATGCTGTAATCATGATCTTAAGCATTTCTGATTCCTATATTCCATCTATTTCTCTGCAGAGAACAGTGGGACTCTGGGGCTGGATAGCTAGGGGTCTACATTCAAAATCAAAGCTAAATTTTCTTTAAAATTTCTAGAATCCAAAAAATTTCAAGTGTCAACACTTGAAATTAGCTTTTCAGAGCAGCCAGGCAACCAAAAAGAATCACAGCTCTGATTTCCTGGGTAAATCTTGATGGATTCTTTGCGCTCAGAGCATTACATGTCAGTGTGTTCAGAAGAGGTATTAACTCTGTGTACTGCTCTGATGACTACAGGAAATCAGGTCTTCATGCTACTTGGCCCCTGCAGAACATACAGAGCACATGGCTTTTTGGAAATTAAACATTTGTTGCAGACGGGCAGTGGCATGCTGGGACGTGCCGTTTCCTTGGACTGCACTGGGCTCTGGGATGAGGTTAAGACTAGCTCTGGTGCTCCAGCCATTTATTTTACATTGGGAAAAGAAACCTCTTCAATGGTAGATTTTCTGAGTTTGAGAAGAGGTTCAATTCACCAGCAACAGGGGTACCAGAGAACAGGCAAAACCTGGCAGCAAACTAGAGAAGAGCCTGGGACTAGGAAGATGTGAAAAGAGCTTGAAGAAAGGTCTGTGAAGCAGGCTGAGGGAATAGGATCTGGCTAGAGAGGAAGCTGTAAGAGATTTTCAGAGAAGGATAGGTGGGAGGATAAATGGAAGGAAAGCAAATTCCAAAGAAGATTTATGGAGGATAAAGTCCATGAGATTCACCTTCTTAAATCTGAAACTACTTGCTGAATTCGCATGACACCAGAAAGCGATGCTTAGCCCCTTCTTACAACAGGAGTTCCCTTCACTGTTCCAGGTGGGTTTGTTTTCCCCTCAGACAATGAAAAGGCTGAGGATGGAAAAGAAAATACCAGCTGGTAAAAACTTTGCAAAGTCTGGGTGAGATCCCGAGTGGCTGACTTGTGCGGTACCTAGTTCCTTCTCAGGCCAAATCCTAGAGCTGTCAGGACTGACATGTTCAAGACAGGACTAACAACCGTCACCCTTATTCCATGCTTTTAGGCAGGTAGCCCAGTTTCCCATATCTCTGTGTCACAGCACCACCATCCCTCCACGGCTCTGTGGCTTCTTGTTATAGATGCAACAAACTGACCTGTTTTGGGATACACTGTTTAGCTCACCTCATTCATTTGGTCAGGGAGCAGCTGAAAGCCAAGGCGGAGTGCTGCGACATGTGCCAGACCCCCTGCTCAAAGGAGTCCTGTTAGAAGACACACTACCCGGCTGCAGTTCAGTGCTGCTGCCGCCCCCCGCTCTGGCCCTCCTATGGCCCCACGTAGCACTAACGCATCTGGAAAGCAGACACGTGGGCAGCGTGAATTCCCAGTGAAGTCAGTTCGCTGAGAAAAGGATGAGTAAAAGTCAAGCATAACTTTAAGAGGTATTGCTGCACTCCTTAAAAACAAGTCCAAGCATAGCACCAATGCAGTGCATGAGCCACAGATGCACATACCACTGCTACTATTACTCCAAACACACATTACCTCCTTGTTTTGTACCCTTTGTTCCCAGGCTTGCTTTTCCCGTGCTAAGTGCTCATATAAATCACTGAGACATTTGCTAGCAGCAGCTCGGGAGCTGCTGGCAGCAAGAAGCTAAATAGTTCTCTTTCAATGATTAAATATACAAAGCATTGTAGTGAAGCTGGAATTTGAAAAGGAAATAGCAGACTTCATGCAACTGAACAGAAATAAGCACGGGGATCACACAGGGGCTTTAGGAGTAAAGTGAAGAGAAGATACTTACTGTACAGAAAGGACAGAAGGGCCAGCTGGGGAGGAGAGCTGAGCAGGCCAGCTAACTGCCACCCACAGAAAAGGAAACGGGAGAGGAAAGGAAATGGAGGGAGTCTCTAAAACGAGAAGAGTGAAATGCGTGAAATTAAGACAAAGTTGGAAACTGAACTGCCAACCTCCCTGCTTATGGGATATAACTGGAGTGAGACAGTCTTTTTTTGTACCAGCTGAGAATCAGGCTCCCTGCCTCCTTCACATTCAATCTGCAAGAGGCTGGTCAAAAATTGTCAGATTGACAGGACTGGAGATTGGATCCCTCTCTTTATCCTAAGGCTACTGAGAGGAAAGCTTCCTCTGTCCGTGTTCTGGCCTGTAGGGAAGCCCAGCTAGGGCTAAGACTTCAGTCTCCATCAGAAATAAGTTACATATGGGTAACTAAATGTACCAGTTAACAGTTGTGTTTCACTGCAGATTCAAAAGGTTTTATTGTACATGAGGTAGAAGAGAGAATAAAACGTGAAAATATCAGTCTTCAGTGTAGAAGATTTGGAGGAAAGTTTTGGAAAAATAAAAATAATCAGGTGAAGCAGCAAACACATCTCTGCTAAATTTTAAGTCACTGTACCCTGGACTGTTCCAGCAACCTGGTATGAGATTTCCCAGCTTCATTGCTGAAAACATCAGATAATCAGATTTGCAAGTTCCAGTCACTGCCTCTATCTTCATTCCTGCCCTTCTGTTCTGCAGCTGTCAAAAAGGCCAACAATGATTACAAACCAGTATGACAGCATTTGGTGTAGGCTATAAAAGTCCTTTTGACACTAATAACAATAAAGCTCAACTTTGATACAAAGTGTTTGCCATCAGGTACTCAGCAAACTTTGTTTAGTCCACAAGCACAAGGCCAAATCTTCAGCTACCATACTTGCCTGCACCGGCTATGGGCGTTACCTATTTTTACTCCAAGGCAAGGAAGATGACTGCTTATCTAGTAGTCAGCTTCTTCATTTTGATTGTTTGATTCTAAAATCAGATTTTGATAAAGGATCACTTCTAGCTGTTGCTCCCTGACACTCCACCTGGAGATAGGTGGTCTTTTTGACCAGGAGAAGGTCGTATCGCAGCCATCGCTGTCCCGCAGCAGCACATTCTCCCTCGGCTGACCTGAGCAGCAGCCTTTTATCAAGAAGCTCATCCCAGGATCTGAGGCTGCTATCTCTTTCTGGTCATGCCCTGTGACACCAAGAGAAAAGCAACCAGCTCCTGTCACTAAAACTGAGAAGTGCCTTAGTGAATCCTGAACTAGTAAAGACAAATTGTGCTGCTTTAAGAACAAATGCTGTAAGCTCCAACCAAAAAATAATCATGTAAATTTAGAGCACCTTCTATGCTGTGGCCCTTCCAGATCCAAGTCCTGGCAGCTGCACCTTTCACTCCAGATCCCATGAGGGATCCCAAAGCTCAACAGCGTCTTACTTCCTGATGCTCCTTCCCTCATTTTCCCAGATTCCCTTCTAGTCAGATCATAGCTTTGAGGATCTCTCTTTCCTGGGACAGGAATGGGCAGGGTGCCTTTTGTTGTAATTTTTTATTCAGTAAATCTATCATGATCTATGCATCATCAGTAACAATTTAATCGTAACTAGCCCTGGTTATTTTTCAAAGAACTGCTCGGATCCAGTCAATAACTGTGATGCAGGAGCTGTAGAGAGCTCATGCTCACTCAAGGAGGCTTTGCCTGAAGAGCCACCGTCTCTTTCCAAGATCTCATAGTTTCTCTGTCAAGCCCCATTGCAATTACTTACACACTGTGTGCTGGTGATGCTGACAGAGCTGGAGATGAACGTTAGCCCGTTGTTCATGCTGACTTGTAGGAAAACCACCCTAAAGCACAAAACAGATACACTTTTTTTTTAATGTCATCTTTATATCCATTGTTCCCTTTATTCTGGCTGTGTTTTAGCCATTGGCTCATGAACACGCATGGATAAAATGTCCTGCTGAGTCAAGGCATTTTCATGGCTTCAGGTGCTTACCTGCATTTGTCTCTCTGCTTGCCCAGGAGCTACCCTTTTTATGTTGGCTTGAGTTGGGGCATATGCTCTTTATTAAAAAACCTCCATCCCACCTGGGGCAAAGGGCGCTAGGACAGTGAGTCATAACAAAGTCTCAGACATTTGCAACACTACCCTAGATAGCACAAGAAATTTTAAGGCTTTTTTTTTTTTTTAAACCCCTTCTGCAGCTTAAAAGGCCAGAATGCGTTTTCTTTTATATCCAAGTAAATCCAGAATACCTGCACTAAGGTCAAGGGGTAAAAACACTGAAATGACAGTGAAATTAAAGAAGAATCTGGCCCTAGACATTTTCCGATATCCGAGAAAGCCATCCTCCAATATCATCTGAGGAAAAAACCCCCAAAAACCAACAACCCACCAACCAAAATAACCCACAAAAACCCACCAAACAGCTTTCTCTTACCCACAAATAGGAAAGGGGAGGGAGGCATTCCCCCTCACCCCCAGTACGGTATTTAGGCACCCACAAGATCACCCAGGGGGAAGGTAGGGCCTTGTGCCATATCTCCCAGGAGTCTGCAGGATTACAACAGCTGAAAAATACCAACACTAGCCAGAGCAGGGCAAAACACAGGAAGCAACATCTACAACAGCAGAAAGGAATTCAAATCAAGAATCTCTTTTCAATCAAAATGAAAAGTTTGCCTGGAATTCAATTACCTTTTGGTCTGAAAAAAACAGGATATAGGAACGGAGGAGAAATCACCATTCTATGATTCTATGACACGGGACCACGGTCCAACAAGGCCTTTGAGTTAAGCTGTGCTAAAGACCCAACATTGAATAGAGCTATGCTGGCTCATACTAGGAGAGGATTTGGCACAAAGGGGAGGGAGGTAATCCTGCCACGCACACAAATATATCAGCCTGGCACTTTGGGCAAAATTCCAAGCCCTTGGCTCAGTAATGACATCCTCATCCAGAAGTCTGCTCTCTCGACACGTGCTGGAAAGCAATACTTACTGTCCAGCATCTTCTATCACTGGGGCAGGACAAAGTAAGTAAGTATCATGAACAAAGGTCGGCTTTTCATCTGAAAAGAAATGAATATAATTGTCAGGGATGAAAAAGAGAAATTGTCCCAACCAGGCCACCCCCTGGAAAAGCACTGACACCAATGAGAGCCACAGATAAATTCAGTATATAGGCAAGTACCAATATTCCCCAATGGTATTACCATTCATCCATTGTTGATGCCAATATAATGTTATCAGGCTAGAGATACCACAGCTAAGAAATGGAAGTACATGTCTGTTTCTGACAGCAGTGATCAGCCATTTTGAAGCCAGTTTTGAGCAATATTCATCTTGTCTATCTGACAAGCGCATGCAAACTCTACTTATACTGAATACTCTGATCCCGCAAGTTACTCAAGGGGTCAAAAGTATAGGGTTCAATTTTTGCCTCCCCACTTCCAAACATACACACACGGGAGAAGCCAAGGCTGCACTGTTTGAGCCCAGGGAAAAGGAAGAACTGAGATGGGGTGGAGCTGAAGTGGACAGACACCAGAGGAGAAGAAAAAACTCATGGCTGGTCATACACAGGAGACAGGCAGAGAGGGGCCATGACTAACGTTACTGTGAGGACCTGTCCTGCACTAGCTGCTGCTTTTCCTGTCCCCAACCTCCCCTCTGTGGCAGCATCATTTAGAAACAGCCCATGTTTATGGAGGTTTGATGCAGGCAGAGTCAAAAGCAAGGTCATGGGTGTTTTTCTGCCTCCCTGCACCCTGCTGCTCCAAGAGTCAGCAGTGCTAATCCTGTTGCTTTCAAAAGCCACATCCAGAAAGCCAAGTCCCATGAACACAGAGAAGAGGCTCAGCAGTAATCCTGCAATGCCACTCCACTAAAAGTGCATAAGCTGAGGCACAAGAGCAGACAAGTCACTGCTGTGACCACACCTTAGCTCCAAACGGCCCGAAGCAGCTAAGGCGCTAGTTCAGAGAAAGACTGGTTCACCGAAGTCCAACCCAAGTGAATTAGGGGCTGGTAAAAAAGCTGCCAGCTTATTTAAGCCTTAGAGGCTTGATTACTCTTTCTACCTAGGAAAAAAAAATTAACTCGAGCAACAACAGATAGGAGAGTTGTTCTTTTATGCTTCACCCACCCCAAGCACACCTGAAGACAAAGCTCATTCCCCTGTTTTGGCAGCGACGAGACCATGGAAATTCTAGTGATATGTTTTAGGGCCAGCCTGAGGGGAAAAAAGCCACCCAGCATAGATCAGCATCTCATCACATCTGTTGCAGACCTAGCCCAAGGAGAACACAGCACGGAGGAAATGTGGAATTAGGGTAGTTTTCCTCCTGTGTACTTCCAGGTCCAGGTCAGCACCCACTGTGTGAAGTCCAGTCAAGGTGCCAGTGCATTAGGGACAAGGAAGAAAAAAAACCCCAAAAGTCTGTCTACCTGGTAAACCACAAGAAACAAATCCCTGGCAAAGGGCATCTGTAAGTGGAACGAGAGCAAGACCGCCAGAGTTTATTTAATGCAGCCTCCACGTAGGCAACTAGGATGGGAAATGAAGGAGCAATTCATGTGCTCCCTCTTGTAAGTGAATTTACTGCTAGGGAAGGCACCAGTCTGACCGCGACAGGATATGAAAGCCTCTACTGTGCGCAGCCAACAAGGGCAGCGTATACAGAAAAGGAGCAAAGCTCCCCTCCCCACGCTGTGCTTCACCCTGCCAGACATACACTGCTTCTCAGGAATAAGAGAGGAGTGCCGAGAAACTGGACCCTCCATCTTTTTTGGCCGTTCAGTCCTTCGCCTGGCTGCTGAGACAGCAAACAAAAGACCCTGTTTAGCACAGCAATGGCAGGGAGTTTCGGCGTTACATGCTCGCTGCGATGAGACCAGCAACTGGCATCAGAGAGGAACAGAGCAGGCCTGGGAGGGCCCTGCTTTATGGAGAGTGTCTCCTGAATTGGTGAATAAAGAGTCTGAAGATACCACCAGAGGATCAAGATAGCATTATTTCTTTTTTACTGGTGATGAACAAGGGAATAGGGAGCAATTTTATTTCTCCCTCTTAATTCCTGATACCCGGACCTCACTGGCTGTATGCATCACCCACGTGCACCATTACAATGATGCTGAAATTCATTGTGCAGCAGCACACCCCACGTCAGCCCTCACGACACAACGCCCACAGGTCACAGGATTGAATAAAGATGCATTTCAAGCTTCTGTTAGGTTTAGATCCCTACTAGCTCCCCCCACATCCACTGCAAGGACTCCCCCCACGTGGACGAGAGGTGGGCTGTGTCACCTCTGTCACTCATGAGGTGACACAGCCACAGGGGGCACTGGAATCCACCAGCCTGCAAACTTACTGATAGTAAGGCTGTCATTGAGCTTGAAGCTGCAGAGTACCTGGTCGATATTTCTTGCATGATAAAAGCCGTTGCCTCTTACCACAACTTGAAATGATTCTGTAAGTAAAAATACAGAAGAGTAATGAAAAATAGCTCAAATACAGTGTTTTCTTCCAGAGTGATCTGAATTACAACATGACAATGGCTGTTCTCTGCCCTATGCCTGAAACAAAACATTCACACCGACACTCTCAATATTCAGCAGCAATGGTCAAGAGTGCTATAGTGGCACTGGCGCTTCACAGAGAAACGTTCATCTCAACGTAGCTCCTGCAAGCATCCCATTGACCCCCAATGCCTTAATTAAAGGTGCCACAGTAATACTGTGAGCCTGACATGGCTGATGTCATTTCACGGTTCCTCCATGGCTTTTGGGCCAGACACATTTGCTAACCAAAAGCACCAGTCCTTCCTCCATTTTCCACAGCAGATTGCACTTAGCTTTCAGCAGCAGCTCTGTTCAGACAGATGCCGACAAACAGGACTCCCCTCGTAACCCCCCTGTGAATCAGAGAGGAAGCTTTGCATCTGGTACAAGTCCTGGAAAAATACAGTCTTTCAGTCCATACAAGAACTGAGCCTGTGCACAGCCCCGTTAGCATCTGCTGCGTGTGGGAATAACTAAAGACCCAGGTGCTGCAATTTTCTTTGTGCTCTTCCCCCACACCACCGCCCCAGCAGCAGAAACCACCAGTGGCACAAGAAGAGACCTGCCACATCAGACACACTGTCTGCTGGCCAGAGCAAACACTCCTAAACCTGCCCTTCAGTTGCTCTCAACTTCTGTTGCTTCAGAAGTGATGGCGGGGAGGCCACCTGTGGTTTTTGTCATTACAGCGATTCGTTCATTCAAACAGGAAAAGCATTGTCAGTTTTTTCAGCCAACCTTTCAATGGTCTTTTTACTGACAGAGCAGTTTCACATCTGAGTGAAGCCAACCTAGGAAGGCTGCTGTCAGAAGTGAGATCCCAACTGCGCACACCCTCCACCGTTGGCACCACTGATCACGTTGCAGCGCACTGAGCTTGCTCACACACCTGAAAAATAACCCTCTGTTTGTTGCCAGAGAGATCAGTAAGGTGTTCTGCCTGGTTGAGCATCTGCTGGGAATAGAAACGTGCAGGAGAAGGGAAGGGACAGAGACAAGTGGTGGTAGCATCAGGTGAGTTTATGTCTATTGTGAAACCCCCTTGAGTCAGTGTACCCAGGACAGTTAGAAACAGGAAAGGTAATTTGTGGAAGAAGGTATTAAGAAGCCTGGTTTGGTTTCTCAGCTTCTCCACAGCAAGCTTTTAAAATTATTTCTTAGTAACCTATATGGGTAACACTTCTTGGAGCACAACACAACTGTTTGTTGCTCTTCCTTCCCTTTTACCTTACGCAGGTGGAGCCCGACACTGAGCCGCAGTCTCCTTCCTCTCGGGGCCAGCCCGAATTGCCAAACTAGGCACAGGTTGCACCAGGAGGGGAAATGGCAAGGGAAACTTCCCTCTAGGTCACAAAATGCATCGTAGCTGCTACACTAACCACAGATATAACATCTTTAGCACAGACATCTTTAGACACATTGCAAGTTTGTTCTGTGCCAAATGTGTTTTTGAAACTCCCTTTGATGCTACACGCAAGAAGCCAGCTGACAGCTGAGACCCACGGCACACAGCAAGGGAAAGCCCAGAAGAAGCTGCACGTTCACACATAAATCTCCTGCTTGAGCTGAATCCTCCACAGAGCTCGCTTATACCAGCTGCTGAGCAGCATTTGAGACCAGCCCAATAGCAGGGGGAGACCAGCACAACACAGGACCAAATAATCTTCAAGCTACACATAGAAAAATAAGAATAAACTGCATAGAAGTTCTCCACTAGCAGCAAGTAAAACCATGAACAAGTCCACGTGCGCTATCAATTATACTTTGACCAACATACTAAAAATGAAAGGAAGACAGTGTTGATAGGACTGAGGGGAGCGGTACCTAATTTTTAGTGATATGAGACCTGGCTTTTGATAACATTTCACATGATGCACTGCCATGTTATTTGTATGCTTTGGAGGAAGGACTTGTAATTGGCCTACATGAGGCTCAAAAGTGGCTGAAATACATAGTCTGCCTGCTCTTCACTATCAAGTTACTTCAAGGCAAGCTAGCATGAGGATGTGGAGTGCTTTAGCTTTTCCATACAAACAGCTTGCTCTTGCCAAAAAGACCTTCTCACTACATTGAGGTCTAATGCAACTCCGGGTGAATTGGACAAGGGCATGGACAAATGACGATCAAGCACTGGAAACCCACACTCTGGTTTTCCTCATAGTAACTTTCCCTTAGAGCAGTGCTCTGAACCGACACAGGCTGCAAGGAACATGGAAAGTAGAGAAGATATTTTGGGAGGGGAAAAAGAAAATATCTACTGGAGTGCATATTAAAGTGAAACACATGCTTTGGCACTTTGCTGAAGAAAGATGATCAAATTTGAGACCTCACTGAGCACATCAAGAGCCAAACAGACAAAGCCAGCATCAGAATTTGGCCTCTCTTAAGGGAAGGGTTATACCTCCTGGTTCCCACGGGGGGGTGGAGGGCACTCCTTTAAACAAATAAAAATGGACTGTAGGGCAGATTCAGCTGCTTCTTACTCCAGTAAGAATCTGGAGTTACTCTGATTCATGCCTTGAGCCACTCCACATTTAACCCAGCTGATATGCTGAGAGTTATTCTTGATAAGCATCCCTTTTTTTGCCAGCAGAGCTGAGTGTCATGGCCAGCTCCGAGGGCAACCAGGCCTCTGCCCCCGCCCCAGAACTACCTGCCTGGGACCACGCATTACCCCAGACTTGCTTGTAGCCAGCCCACTCCACAGTGACCTGAACACTCAACTAAGATAACTTCTGTCTCTCAATTTTCTATTATAAAAGTAGCTTGCTGAAATAAAATTGCAGGTAGATTTTTTTTCTTCCCCTCTCCTGAACGGACGGTCTTAAAAGGCAGCATCCACAAAAGCTGAATTGATAGCTACTGCAGCGGCTTTAAAAAGAGGCAGCAAGTAAGAGACTTTCAACACAAAACAGCAAAGGTAAAAGCTCCATTTAGAAGTTTAGTCTTGTCAAGATAGTTTAACTCTCCTGCCCTTCTTTCCACCGTCACTGCCACTCTGCATGGTCAGTTGTGAATAACTGACTCTGTAGTAACCTGTCCACCAACACAAGCTGACAATAGAGTCTCAATTCCAGGCTTGCATGGAAATGTAAACAGCTGGTACTGGATTTGGTTGTTGCTGTTAAGAAGTCTGCCCCTTCGGATGCTCCGGAGCATTAATGCGTTCTGGATGATGGTCTGCTGAAATGGCTAATTCCATTTAATTTTGCACCCTGGCTCTGGCTGCGTCCTTTTCTTCCTTAGTTACTGTCAGATCATAGATTGTAGCTTTTGACAAGACAGCGAAGGGAAAAAGGTCAGCACTGAAATAACCAGGCGGCGCTGGCAGCGAGATGGTAGGTTGAAGCTGGTGTGCGCTGGCTGCGCTGTCGGCTTCACTTCTGTGACTCTGATGAGAAGCTGACGGCTTGCATCCACACCTGGTAGTTGATGTGGCCAGTAGGATGCCACATCCAACAAAACCTTTCAATCACGTCTGCGTACCATAAGCATAATCAAAGCAATGATGCTGTCAAACAGGATATGAGGCACCTCCAATTCTGCACTGATAGCCTGTTTACAGGCTGCATGTCTTGGTCACTTTAAATCAGAGGGAACGGGAAGAACCCAACTACATTTCTCCAGATCGAGGACGATAAATTTGCAGGGTCAGAAAGCATTAAGCATCAGATAGCTGTCATAACGGGACAAGATCAGTTTGTAAATGGACTTGCCAGGTAGTTTCATCACAGAATCCCACATGGAAATCGTTTCATCAGCAATTTACTAAACCTCTGGCAAGTCAAAAATGAAGCCAAGATCACCAGTAATCACCAACACAGTGGCAATTAGGAGCTGCAAGAACAGTCACAAGGAGTGGGTCAGAGTCTGCTCTAAGCCCTGATCACGATTGGCTTCCACTGAGCAACACAAAGCCCTCATGATCTCATACCAGATTCTAAAAATTAGTAATAATGCTAAATAAAAGCCAAATTTATTATCACCCCCTCACCCAGTAAGTTTCATGCAAAAAGCATGGACAGAGCCACATTTCAAGGCTGTAAACAAGCAAGCTTCTTTGCTGGAGAATGTGATAACATCTTGCACTCTTTCAAAAGGTCTACTATTTTTTGATCAAAATTTTGAAGTGAAAATTTCAATTACGTATTTAAAAAAAAGTAATTCCTAACTTAGAAAAAAGGAGGAGGAATGTTGCATTTCTAGAAAATGTTATGTTCTAATTTTCAGCCAGTTCTAAATGCAGGTGTGTATATATTTTTTACACAGGATTCAATGGCTATATATCTTACCTATATATACCTTACCTATACCTTACATTATCAGTAAACTACGTTAGTAATTACCTAAATTTAAAATGCATTAAAATTCTGAGATGACTTCATAGGCTTCAGTATTTTTTGCATTAAAGTCCAAATAAAGTACATTAAAAAAATAAATCACATTGCATATAGAACTATATCTGACTGTCCAGTGAACTGGATTCAGGATCTGGATTCACACTACCATGAAAAATGTTGTTCAATCCCAGGAGATTCCCTCCAGGAGACACTGGTGCACACAGCTGAACCTCTGGCTATGCTGAAGTAAGTGTGATAATAAAGGACAATAGAGCCAAGCACAAGTGTAAGTATTTGCAGCCTCATGCTGTAAAACCTCTCGCAGGAGTTCATTTCAGGCTTGCAGGACTAGACTCATAATAAGAGCTATTACAGGCCTGCTTCTGGGTGCTAAAGACCATTTAACACGACAGTGCGCACCATTCGGAGCTGCAGTTTTGGCTTCCTCCTATTTTCAAGCTCCCTGCTGCTATAAGCAAACCTTCAAGCACGCGAGATCCAAGCCTTCACGCCCGGGTGATTCAGCACCCCGCTTCACCGTGTGCCAGCCTTTGCTGGACCGCTTTGTCCACAGGGACAGAACAAACCTCAGAATTTAAGTGAAACACAAGTGCCGGTATTTTGCTGAATCAGCAGCAATACACAGAAACTGGTTCTGCCTGATTTATATTGATCTTATTTGAAAGCCACAAAGACAACGAAAAACTTCTACAGATGCAAATAATGCAACAATTTTTTTTTTTTTTTAAAAGAGGACAAGCTATTTTTAAGCGTACTTGTGTATTTTTAATGACATTTGTGATAAACTAGTTACCTAACAAGCTCGGCAAAAAATGGTTTGAACTCATGAATCAGGAATCAAACTGATTCAATTTGAAAAAAAGAAATATATCCATTTTTGAAAGGCAAATCTTTTCTTGAAAATTTATTTTCTCCAATACTTAGAAAAATATTTTCAAATTTCCGTTTGAAAAAATGGTTTCAAATTCAACTTTCCAAAATTCTTAACATTGTTCCAAACAATTACAAGAATACTACTGAAATCCCTCCTATTGGAACACTCACATTTTCCACATAGCTAAATGCAATTTTTGTTGAACAGGAAAGCTTGCAATAAGCTGCTGCACAAAAAATTGCCTGGTATACAATAAGCAAGCAAAAAAAGAAAGAATTTTTCACTATGAAATAAAAAAAGCTTTGAAATGTCAAAGCTTTAAAATTGTTTTTGATCAACTCCACAAGGAGATTTTTAAAAGCAAAATCATTCCATTTTTAAAATCTTGTCTGTGGAAAAATTATCACAAATGTCTAGTCCACAAATATATATTTAGGAATAGTTCAAAAGATACAAGGATATTTCATTTTAAATTGAAATACTCAGGGCAAGGTCATATTGTGATCGACAAGTGGAAATGAAGAGTGAACCACTTCTCTGATATTTATTAGATTGTTCCCGAGTTTCCTATTTTTATCTGTTTTCAAGGTCAGCTTTCAAGCATCATTGCTATTTTATTTTTATGTGCTCATTTTTAGAGTGTATAAGGAAATGAACACAAGACAGTAACATCAGATCTAAATAGCCATGCTGCAAACTGTACCTTCCAGCAAACTTATGGTGTCACTCTTACCCTGCTGCAATAGCCTCTTAAGTAGACAAAAACACAGCAAGAGAATTGCTAACGTAAACCAGAACAAATCCAAGTTAAATATACTAGACATGAAAGGCATGAAGTTATCAACAGCTCCTCTGGGGATTCTTCACGTTTACTATATACAGTAACGGTTCTTTCATTGCAAATAAGTACAACATTAGTACTCTGTAAAACACATCAAGTATCTTGGCCTATGCAGTTAATTACATCGGGTTCAATAAACCCGAAATTTCTGTGAACGTTTTGCAAAGTCTTGTTCTAACTGCTGACGAGTCCTAGCAGATCCCAGGCACGCAGTCTTTCCAGAAACTTGTGAGATGTCGCCTTTAGACCCTACAACACCTCTGGCAGTCTGACTTCACATCACTTCTGTCTCCTCCTTCCCTCGGATATTTTAAAAAGCAGTATCCCCAACTCCCCAAGTGCTACCTCGGCCAACTCTCCAAGCTGGCATTCAGCCGCAGCAGCTACGTGTTTATCAGCACAGTTTTTTTTTCTCAAGCTGAGAAGGGACACACAGAGCTTTAGCCATGGCCCGAGGGGACGCTCTAACACATCCACGGGCTTCAGCTCCGATACCGCATGAGGTAGTTACTGACATTTCATCACTGTCATTCATTTGCCATATCACACTGTTCTTGTGGAAACTTACCTCCTGCACAAACGCTCGATGGTTCAGCCGCTAGGATCTCAATGCAAGATTTCTTGAGAATCTGAAAGATTTAGATAATGGCATTTTTGGTAGTCAATCATTTTTATCTATGTTTTATTAATACAGGAAAGGGTGCCCTTTTCTGGGTTTCAGAATACCCAACTTACTGAATCAATGGTTCCTCTTAGGGCATAAAAGCCTCCCGTAACTGGAAAAACATGATCGATGCTGTCAGCAATTGTTGACAGCTGCAAAGAAAGACAATCATAAATCATGAGGAAAACAAAATTACAGTGAACAAAACTGGGGCCTTTCATACTTGCTAAAAGACATCATACTGACACGAAATGATTTATGCCTCAAGTAATTAAATAAATGCCTTCATCCAATGCTGTTACTTGTGCAGTAATATAACAGAAAAACAAAGCAAGCAAAGTTACCTGAGTTTCATTGAAATCTTTCACTCCAACACAATAAACAATAGCTCCAAAGCTTCTGGCTCTGTTGGCCTAAATAAAAAAAAAAATTGCCATTAAATGCAAAGCCATATAATCAGTGGAGCCAACAGTAAATGCCTACAGGTTTGACATAAGGTAGTCTGGGTAAACGTGAAGGTGACTTACTTCTTGTTCTGCGTAATAAAACTGAACGTCTTGCAATTCTCCATCCGTCAGAGCAATAATCACGCTAGCAGTCCGAACTCCTACATGGAGGATAGTTAACAGATTGCATACATGTGACACAAGATTCAGCAATGAAAAGAAAGTTTGAAGTGAGGCATTCCTTTTTGCTGACAAATAAATACAAAACCGTAAGGCCAGACTCAGCCTAATTTGTACGGACTTTATTGGAGATATATCAGCTGAAGGTCAGATGCATAATAGCATGCAATAAGCCAAAACCTCTGCACCTTCATACAGAATTTAGAAACTTATGACCTTGTCATGAAAATGGGACAAATAAAAACTCCGTATTCAATCACTCATCAGGACAGTTGGGGTTAGGACTTTTCCATTATAAAGACAGAGGCCAAAAGATAAGAGAACAGGATGGGAATGATAAGCATCACAAAGGGGCAGTACCGCTCTAACAAGGTCCATGCACAAACTTCTCTGTTCTGCGTTAAATATAGCACCTACCGAGATTACACCTCGACTGCATGGAGAAGCGGCAAAATGGATCCGCAGAGAGGGAGAGGTTTCCTCTCTTCTCTTGACAAACATGTCTACACAAACCTTGCCTAGAGATGGCGGTAAGAGATACCTCTGCAAAAGGAGCTTTCCCGCCATCCTACCTTCCCCTCCAGCAGACTTTCAAAGAGCAACCCCACTGAACATGGCACGAAACACGCTTCTATAGGGGGTTCAGTCCTGCACTTCTTGAGCAACAAGAGCTGTCAGTGAAGTTCATGGAAACTCTGAGTGTGTGAAAACCTTAAGAACAGGTCCATTGGAGAAAATTCATGTCTTGTGATAAGACATTTCATATCCCAGCTAAGCTTAAGTGAAAACATTCCATAGACTTTGGATAGCTATATACGTAATGCAGTATAGAATACAATACTACCTAGAAAAATGCAACATGTTAACAAAATTAAACCAAATTAATGTGCAAACTATGGTTCAATCAACCATTCTGCAGCCATAGTTCTTAAGCAAAGTAACTAATACACATACATGTTACTTTCAGGGAAGTATTTGTCATTTTTTCAAAATAATCTGTTACAATTTCAAGTGTCTTTCCCCATACTGTCTGAAATTAAAGACTGATTAGTTCTGACAGGTTTCTTATGCCATGCAGTCCTTCCCATGTCATGTCAGACATAGACATAAATCTTAAAAAAATGACCTGCAACTTGAGGGGAAAAAATAGCTTGGATTCCTGTATTTTTTTTTCTGCCCATCATGCTTGAAAAAGGATGAAAAATTGGAGATCTTATTTTGTTTTCTTTTGAACACTTGTTTCTTCCTTGCTATTTTAGCTTATAAATCCAGATCTCATTTACTCCTTTTTTCCTTCCTAATCAACTTACAGAATAGTTGAGTAGTTCTTAGCTATATGTTATGAAGAGGTAAAATAGTTTTCAGCTGGACTCTTCAGGACTCTTGATTTCGCTGGCAGAAGTGTCTGAGAAGCCACACAGAGTTGCTGCTGAAGACTCTACACTCACAGCCTATTTTATTAAAAAGGCACCGACCCATTTCTCCATCTTCCAAAGAGACCATCAGCCCACTAAGGAGAACAACCTCACACCAGGGCACAAACCAGGCAAGAACTGTTCAGTTTAATTCATTAAGCCTTCTTTCGCACGGACAAAAACACCAATACATTTCCCTCTTGAAATTTAGTGAAAATTTACATTTTAGGAACTCGGAATCTGATCCCAAATCATTCACACTGATGCAAAAGTCTTAGCTGATTGCATTCGTACCTACACTAATGAGAACGGGGACTTGGGCACACGAGGCAGACAGGGCTGAGCACGTTAGGACAGAAGGGCGCAGGAAAATCTGGGTATTCCTGTCCCCTGGGTGCGGGACAGGCAGTTCTGGCTGTAATGCTTTGGTCTGTATTCTGCACTGGGTCAGATCTGTGATAATACTGGTCTCCTCTGGTCTTAATAAACCATGAATCATGCATTTAAAAGTAGAGCTCTAGTCAAAATGGAATGTAGTGATTGTGTAACACCAATTCCTTCTCCAACACTTCTCTCGGCGGGTTTACTGCAGGTCGTATAAAGAACCATCACCCTTGTCTTTGCAATGCAGGTATATAACATGAGTGACATACAATGCCTACCTCCGTAGGTTTCATGGTAAATCTGCTCATTTGCCTGCAACAAAGTGTAGAACATTGTTAGCTCTTAAGTACAGCAGCAGCAAGCAAAGCAAAGTTTATACGTGTAAATCAAAGAAAGGAGGTACTGTGATGTGTACCCTTTTAAATCCTTCATGCATGAACGTGTCTCCTCCAGGCACTTCATACTGAAGAATGTCGAGCCCTCGTCTTATGGCTTCCCTTTGGAGAAGAAGAAACAGGAGAAAATAATTTTATTAAAAGTTCTGTTTTGTTGAGATATTCCTGCACCACAGCTAGATTATGCACCCTGTCAGTACACTGCACGGAGTGCAAACACACCAGCTAAAACATTGGTAAAGCCAAGATTTTTCAAAAAACACAGTTTTTCAGCCAAACACCCATGGGAACACAAAACCAGACATATGATACAATGTTAGGACTAACACATTTTAAAGGTGCAATTCTGTCCCTGCTCCCCCATTCTCGTACACTGTCAGGCAGGATAAGATTGAATTAAAGCAAATGCCAGATATCAAACTCTGACAAACCACAGACGGAATGAGAATTTAAAAACTTATGACCCTGTCATGATAACAGGACAAATAAAAACTCCGTATTCAATCAATCATCAGGATAGTTGGGATTAGGACTTTTCCATTATAAAGACAGAGGCCAAAAGATAAGAGAACAGGATGGGAATGATGAGAATTTCCTATCCTAGACCAGGGACTGATCAACCTTCCCGCGGCACAGACTGCTCCCTGGTAAGAGATGGACTTTGATACCATGACCCCCGTTGCATAGCTTCTTGCTCCACAAACACATACCAAGATGTGGTTAACCAAGATGATCGCTCAGGGAAATTAATAATTTAATTGATGACTGACCACTAAAAGACGTTGATCCTTAGCAAAGTTTTCATATATTAATGGAACACACATAAGGCCAAATCACAAAACAAATATTCAACAGACAATATGTAGGAAGTCCAAACACCAGCCCCAGAGGCTTTGGGGCATCCTTTTTTAAAAAGATAGTGAGAGCCTCTCTAAGCTCCATTTTGCAGCTGGGCATTTTAGGCAGCACAACCCCAATTATAGAGAAAACAGGAGTCTATGTGGGATGAAGGTAAAATCAGGAGCTGGGACTGGGGATGTCCTTAGGGCAAAAAAGCACATTTTTACCCTTCCAAAGTGTAAAATGAGCTGAAAAGGCACACATGGTGATCCATACAGAGAACAGGAGTTTAGGAGAGGGAACGTTCTAAGACCACGTTCAACATATTGCCACAGGGTTCCTGTCTACTTTCCACCTTGCAAAGAGCAAATCCACCTGGGACAAGTAAGCAAGTTTGAGCTCTGTCACCAAGGTACAAGATGGAGACCTGAGCCAAAACTCAGTGGAGCGAGCAGAACTGCAAGACCCCTGGCAGGGTTTCTGGCTTTGGATGATGCCCTGGGGTACAAAATGAAGGGGGGGTTGTTCTTTCAAGACTGCACCAGAGCTCCCTTTATTTATAGGGTGCACTGTACTACTGATGCCCTCTCACACAGACAGAAGCAGTAGCAAAAGCAAGGGCTTTAAGCTGAAATGAAAGAAAATACTTAGAAACACCTCCATGAGAGGGATTTCCATGTGTGAGGTAAATCAAACCCAAAATTATTGGGGTTTTTTGTTTTGTTTTTTTGGGGCAGGGGGGTTTTTTGGGGGAGTTGGGGTTTTGTTGTTGTTGTTTTGGTTTTTTTTTAAAGAGGATTTGGTTGTGAAGGTGGCAACAAGAATTTTACTCCAGCCTCAGACTCTCTTTTTCATAAGAAGCCTGTCGCTCGGCTGTGCATACCACCCCTGGCATGCACAGGGGTGCTGTCTGAAGGCAGCCAAGAAGAGGGGTGCGATAGCCTGGCGAGGCAGTGCTCCAGCACTGGGTACGACCGGCTGCTGGCATAAAGTTCAGGGCTTCAGGCCACTGTAGGACTTTCATACAGTCTTTTGCTCATCAACTCAGGCTCTGAGTTCTCTTAAACAAAAACCATCCTTATTTGGGTAGTTGAGGACAGCAAGGACATACATGAATTCTTGACTGGAAACACAGTTTCTCCCTGAAATACTGCAAGAAAGAATCATAGAATCATTAAGGTTGGAAGAGACCTCTAAGATCATCGAGTCCAACCGTCAAGAAGAGACAGCCCAGTGCTGCCTTTCTCTTATAAGTCTGAAAAACGGTAATGGGAGACCCAAAGGCCTTCTAAGCCCTCTTCCAGTTGGGAATGGTGGAAAAGACTTCAGTTGGTGCCACACCAAGGACCGAGACAGAGCTCTGAATTCTGGTTTTGGGGCCTCTCGCTGCTTGAGAGAAGGGATGGAGGGTATTTCTGGATGAAAGTTGTAGAGTACTTGCCTGTTTTCTGTTAGTTTCATGACTGTAGTGCCACGTGAAGAAAAAACGATGAAAGACATCCGCAACATTGGACTGAAACAGAAGAACAAGCCAGATCCACGTCACAGGCACACATTACTTCAGCAGATTTTCTTTTGCTAAGAAGCAGTGAATGAAAAAATATAAATTATATATATAGCAAATTAAAATATCATCTTAAGAAAACTTTACCTTATGAACTTCTCAGCTAGGCTTTCCACAAAAGAGTAAATCTCTGTCCAATGATTTCTGACACTTCCAGACCTGCATACAAAACATAATTGATTACATTCATCTTATTTCACAGCAAAATTCCTTGTTCCAGTCTGAATTTTAAGCCTGGGCTACTCCAAAGGTGGTTAGGGACACAACTTCCCTAAAGGTCTATGGACACGAGGCAGCTAAATCTGTTGAGGCTTCTGCAGCAGTTGTGTTAGAAGCTGTAACAGGAACCATCATGACAAAACCCACTGGCCCAAAGAGAAGTAGAAATAGGTCTGAAATAGTTTACCGGACAATTTTGAAACAATTTCCATCTGCTTTTGTTCCTTTTATAACATAAAATATAAATATTTTCTTCTAGTTTAATTCATCTTACTTGACTTCACTAAATCATCTGCTAGCAGCTTATTTACTTTCCTAGAGCAGCTCTGCCCTTGCAGCCACACAGAAAGTCTTGACTGATCTATTCTCCCAGAACGCGTGGGAGAATGTTTCCATGAATTACTGTTTGTTTCAAGAGAGAAGACTTTTGAAGTAATTCTGAAGGGAAAGGCAGTGCTCGTAGCTAATTCGCTGGACTAACATTCTGGACAGTCAATCCCTGGCTGCGTTACAGATTTCTTGTGAAAACCTGGGCAACTTAGTTACATACACAGACTTACATATTCGTGCTGCCGTTCCCAATATATAAAACTATATTACTGGCGCTCCCTGGCTTTTTTCTGCTCAGTCTTACATTCTCAGGGACCCCCACAGTCTGATGGGACTCAGACCTCAAACAGAGCCTTGCACGCAGCAACTCCACAGTAAATGATAGGTGATTTCTACCGTGTGGATCTATGCCATACACTTTCAAGCCTTTAAATAGGCTACAAAGCACGAGAAGACAACGATTTTAAAAACCCTCCCTAGGCCTGCGGTGTTTGTGAGAGAATGGCTCATTCGCTTTCCTTGACAGGCAAACTCATGTATCAGGTGTCTTAGGCAGAAAGATAAATAAAACAGCAGCACATACGGAAGGATCGTAGGGGCTTAGACACAGAAGAACTAAAAAATTTCTGAAATTTAACTACAGTAAAGCAGTAGGTTTCCTCTAACTGCTGTTAGACATTTTTCTGTGTAAGAAGATTAAAAAAAGGGGACAAAATGATCCCATGTTACAATTCTCAGTTCTCCTACGGGCTTTCCAAGCGACCCTATGCCAGTCACCTCTGCTCCTGTACACGAGGTACAGATCAGCGTACCGAAGCCCACATAACATGGCACTGCCTGCCCTGCAACAGTGCTGGTGGAGTGGAGGAGAAGAGCAAAGATAAAGAGACAAGGACCAAAAGGAGACCCCTGAAGTACATAAGCTAGAATAAGCTTGCTTGTGTAACCCTGTGCTTTCACGCTGCTCTTCCGGAGAGCTGGCGATTCATTCACAGAACAAACTGGTTATCAAAGAATGAAGAAATTGCCAGGCACTGAGGGAGGGCAACAAAGCACCAGAGACTGCTCGAACCAAGGATCTGGATCCTCTGCAGTCTCCGATTTATAGGTGTTAGGCAACGGATGTGACATGATTATATTTTCCTGAACAGCATCAATGAAAGGTGCCGGCACTATTAGCAAATTAGCCCTTTTCACTTCGTTAAAAAATAATCCATGCAGATGTGAGGCATGTACTTTAAGCACTGCTTTTCCAGAAGGGATCTGAGGCACTCCAACACTTATAATTCTGAAAGTCCCAGACTAAATCTCTAAGCATGCTAAACTCAAACAGATTTTCCTCTAATCTATGCAAGATGCATTTACAGCTCCCAATTATTTTTTTTTTAATTAATTTTTTTTAATTCTTCCCCCCCCCGGAGTTGACACTTTCAGTTTCATTCTGAGCTTGCCATCTTATTTAAGACCAATTCCGCTAATTTCCAATGGAGTCACTTCCGTATATAGAATAGCCACAGTTTCTTACTTGGAAAAGACTGACCTATTTTGGATGAGGTATCAAATTTCTACTGCCAGCTGCAGAGGCACTGATGCAATCCAAAAAAGAAAGTAGCAACGAATTTTCTTTATAACAGCAACAAATCATCAGTTCCAGTACCTTCTTAGGACTGTCAGAATTACTTTTTTTCCCCCCCTTTTATTTATCTACCCCTCAGGCAAAGAACAGCTTGGCAAAACAGCCTGAACACTGAAAATTCAAGAAAATCATAACCTGCTAATGGTGGAAAAACATGAAGACTTTTAAAGTGAAAATGTACGGATAAACTTAATACTGTGCACTTCCATGTACTTTGACTACAATGAAACACCCCTTCTTGGAAAGGGTACAGCCAGTGAGACTAAAAGTAACTAGAATTGGCTGTAATAAATCTATAGATGCCCACCTCTGAAAAGCTAGGGAGGTCTCTGCCACGGGCTAGTCCTCACAGGAAGCATACTGTGCTCCGAGAGCACCTGGCTCTACACCACTGAGCTACAACCCTGCTGAGGAGAGGACCTTCAGCATGGCGGAGGGCCTCCTTCTCCCCTAGAAGGAATTCTGCACCCACATGTTGCTTATCAGCTGGGAAGCGTCAAGGCTAGACAAGCCATACTAGCAAGAAAACTGAACTGTTTCAAAAGAGTACCAGTGAAGTGGCTGGCACTTAATCACTTTCCCCACCACATCCCTCAAAAGACCAGCCGTGTCACCGCCCACTGCAAATGATGCCCAAGTGCCACTGATGGTGGTCACGTCAAACCCCTCATGAACACCAGTGGGGGTGGCCTGGCCTATAGAAGAACCTGATTTCCCACCCCTCCCCCCCAAACTCGCCTCTAAATATCCCTGTTTGTAAAGTCTATTTATTTGCTGTTTCATATATATATGTGTGTATGTGTGTTTTGGAGGCTTCTGGGGTTTCTCCTGATATAGTTTCATCTGTTGCCCCAGAGGCCTGAACCCGCAAAACCAGTAACAGCAGATCAAACAAAAATTTACAACAATAAAATGTTTGCTAAACTATATACTAAGTTGCCAACCACTACTCCCAACACTATTGAAAATACTGAGGCATTTCACTGCTTTTGGGATCTTATTTTTCACACTGCAGAATCACTTTTGCTGGCAGCATAAACTAACTTGCCGCCCTTCATGGCTAGATCAGACTAGAAGGTTTTTGCCTGGGTTTCCCGTGGCAAGTGGGAGGCTCCAAGCATACTCTAAACTCCTTTCTGACCATGGCCAATACTTGAAAGCCATGCTCATTTTTAACTCCACAGTTACCGAGCCTAGAGAAAGCACAACATCTTTCAGTGATGCTCTACACCACAGGTTATTCTTGGACATGCACACAGCATGATTTTTACAGCAGTTTCGGTGCTTTTGTTGTTTCCCTTAGAAAGTTACAATAACTAAGAACAAACAGCTCCTGAATCAGCGTACCTGTGCTAATAGGAGCCTCAGACAAAGCTGGCATGTTGTCTCTAATTGCCACCAGTAAATAACCACAGATTCCTTGCCTGGCCTCTTTGGCCATCAAACGATACACTCCTGTAAGATTTCAGAGGAACTGTGAAGACTTCTAAATAGTGAGGAAAGAATAAATGAAGCACAACAAAAGAGCAGCACTGTGCAGAAAAATCACTGGGCACGAGACACACTCGTCCACCCTCACCAGTAACTGGAGGAAGCCACGGGGAAGCGATGCAGCCAGGGAACCCTACAGATCCTCCTGTGGAGGTTTGTACCAGCGGATCCACCAAGCCAGAGCTGTGGCTGTCTGCAAAGAAAGACGATGTTACGGCTGGACCTGTCTTGTTGGCTCATGCCCTAGAGATTTCCTGCTTTTCAGGTCATCAGCTACCTGGTTCAACTCCTCACATCAATCAAAATGGCCACCACCACCCAGCCGAGCCCCGGGCTCCCTCCCTGCACTCTCCCCGCTGAAGAAGCCCCGTGAGCCTGACGTTCTCTGCGAAGGACCAAGCCCCACAAGCCAAAGACCTCTGTGGTTAGTGACCCACAGCTTACAAGCAGTTCGTGTGCCTTTCGGAGTCAAGCGGGACGGTGAGGTTTCAGCCCTCGGAGGTTACATAATTCTCACGGCGAAGGAAAATGCAAAGCAATAAAAAGCTGCTGTGGGCAGCCCGAGCGCCACAGAAAATATTTCAGGGCCTGTTTCTGCTGCCGGTTCCACTGGGGTGAACCTGGAGCGGGTCCAGAGAAACAGCAGAATTTCCCCAGGCTCATACCTATGCAATTGGGATCAGAATTAGGCCCAAGTGAAGTGAAAAAGCCCACAGGAGCTATTTGTTGTGAGCGTGCTCCCCGCTCCACGAGCTCTGTTCCCATTACACAGGAGACAAAGAGAAGAGTCAGCAAACCACAACATAGGAAGGAATGTGCTGCCGGCCTCGTCGGGACTCAGCTTGGAGGAGCAGCTGCTGCTGCAGCTCCTGCTTCTGCTGTTTTCCTGAATTTCACATTGCTATTGCTTGATGGGAGGGGAAAAGAGGCAGTCAGTGAGTGTTTCTGGGGGTGGAAGGAAGTGATGTGATTGCAAGGCTTGATTCTGCTCCTGCTTACTTTGGAGGGACTCCTTCTAGCTTAGCGGAGCTCTCTGTCAGTATAAAAACGGTGAGCATGTTAGAGGCATATCTGCCTCAACCTGTGGGATTTCACTGCTGTTTGAGAAGACAACAAAGCGCGAGACAGGCTGGAAACCTCGCTTCTTTCCTAACAGGCTCCCAGAGGCAGTGGAAGCTGGAGCCCAGAGAAATCAAGCAGCACAACCCTGGCATATGGGGTGCCACTTTCAGCCCAGTTACTTCAGCAGGCAAAAACCAGGAGGGTCAGTTGTAACGTGTCTGTCCTAGGACATGTGTGATTCACAGTTACAGCTAAATTCACTGTCAGGAGCCTGTATAGATCAATCCGGTGTGATATACATCAGACCCGCAGTTTAGCAGTGAAAGTTAATACTCCAGCACTACCCAAACAGTAAATATTCTTATTACCACATGTACACAGAGAGAAGGCAGCAGGACCCAAAGCCTTTCCTCCCTGCTGG